AAGCAACATTATCTATCATGGTTAATGCTTCTAATTTAAAGCTAGGACACCTAACTTTTAAACCACAATTCATTTCACAATTTAATCAAATCCATCTAACCAGTTCCTACCTCTCAAAAGTTTGCACATGCATGAATATTTTGCCACTGTCACATCTTAATGAATCTGATTTTTAGACAGAAATATAAAAAAGAGAGGACCACCCTTGCTCAACCAATCAGCTCTCTGTATCAAATGTGTCAAAAATGCAAAAGATAACAGAGATAGATGTGTTTGGCACCCTTAGTTCTGTATTCTTTCCCTCATCAGTGAATCTTACTCAGCTTCTATAGATTTCCTCCCATGTTTTTTCTCTCCGGGGGTGAATGCGGTCACATATGAAATCAGAACCTGCTATAGGTCAGACAAACATAGCCTCCTCACACTGCAGCTTTTTCCCAGTCAATGAAAGAAAGCATGGCGTCCAGCGTATCCAAGTCCCAAAGGCTGCAGCAGACACCGGGACCGCACACAGACAGTGAGTTTCCTCCACCCCTCGCCATAAAACCCACACCACACATGGATGTAATAAGCAAACAAATTAAGCCATTATACCGTTTTAAGGTACAGACATCCGCGTTTAAACGGTTTAAGAGTAGCAAGGGATTTCTCAGTCGGTGCAAGTTCCATAGTCGACCTCAGACCACCAGGGTAATAGGGGAAAATATAATGCTTATAATGATATTGTCTTCATGATTACACGTCGGCACAGATTTGGGGATCTCACCTGCTGCATCAATAGTACTAGACGAAAGTTGTTGTAGATGTAGTTGTAGCTGTATAGTAAAAAGTTCTTCAGTTGTATTTTCCCATGTGATTGTGTCTTTACCAGAGCCATACACAGGATTGATGACATTGTGAGGCCCAATTCTTTTTGATCCAACGTATACAGTAGATTACATACAGAATTAAATCACTGAAACTTTACTATTCAGCTTTGCGAGGCCCTAACCCTAACACTAACCCTTACCCTAACCCTAACCTACTCGTCCTCTTAAATCGTATCAGAAAATGTGATATTTTGAGTTATCTAAGGGTGTTGTTGAATATCAAATTCCATGTCTATTAACCCTTACAGTAGTAACATTAACATCGACAGCTGACTGCAAAGAGGTGATTACCAAAACTACATGTAAAATAACTCCACTTAAATTAGAAGAATTATACATTTTCTCTCGTCCTCACTACTAAATCATCAGGTACAAAGCATGAGTAAATTGTGTCCAAAGGAAACAACAATAAAGTCCCTCCAAAACGCTCAGAAGTAAAAAGGTTTGTTTTTAAAAGGGACATGGAAATTCTCTCTCGGAATGTGAAAGAAATGGCAACTGCCCTTGAAATAATGCTGCTTATCTCAAAACTATCTCAAATCAAATAACAGTCAATCATTTATCACTGTGTAATTTAAAGATTTTTTGCTTTGAAGCTTGAAATGATTTGATTTCCTGGCACCTGGCTATACTTGCAACCTAAGTTATACCATTATAGCAAGATACATATATAAAAATCCAATATCCTGTAAGTGAGACATCAAAACTACACATTGATTCAATATATGGGACATCAGGGATATAATTGCACAGGATGTACTAATATGGGCACATAATTTCCTTGGCCTGCACCACACTACTTGGCACAGTGCTACAACTTGCCTGGAGCAAGATGGCGACCCCAACCAGCTTCTAATCATGGTCTGCAAGTGTGTTTCCCTCCTCTCCGGTTAAGAGCAGCACCTATAAAACCTTATTACGTTGCTGCCGTAATCGTGTTAAGGGAAGTACTCGGTGAACTGACAGAAGCCGAGTGTCTTGTAAACCCTTTGGGGAACTTTCTAATTAAAACACTCACTCCTTAAGTCCAATAAACGCTAAGGGTTTCGAGCTTTTCCTAAACATGACATATTTTCTCCTAACCCGAGGCAGTGTGAACGATGCCAGAAGCCGGGAGTCCAGCGTGCGGAATGCCGTTCAGGATGGTTTTAATAGTTTTCCATGTTGAATTGTTTTTCCAAGCTACTGTTAAACGGGAAGGTGTGAGAGCTGGAGGAGAGGGCTTCCCTGTGCTGTTGGCAAGCTGCACCACCACCATATGTGATGGCCTGATGCGAAAACCTGGCCAACCCTACATTTCTGATGAGTGGTGTCATCATCAGTAAACCCAGGGAGTGGCGGTGGGGGAAACAGGTGGAGACCATATGCACTTGAACCATACAAGGTTTTTGTCTAATACTAGAAATGTTGGGATAAATTGAATGCATTTTGATATATTTCGTCATGATTTTCATATGTGGTGCGTGTCTATAAAAAGTGCATCATTACTTGTAAGTACAAGATTGTTATACTAAAAGCCTAGACAGTGGCAGTAGTTTTATATCTCAAAATAAAATGTTCTACAACATATAAACAAAAGAGAAATAGCACAGACATATAGTGAATGACATTTCAAGTATTATTATGTTGTCCAAGTGTCAGTGTTCCCAGGGGCCATCCAACATAACTTGACACCTGATTTTAAAACAGTAAAAAGAAAAAGTGAAACAACATTTTAATTATTGGTTTCAAAATAATCTAAATTGGTCGATCCACAATTTGAATTTGTTTATTTGGATGGGACAGAGGGTATTAATGATCAGCAGCAGCTGTAACAGATTTCCATCTGTAGACCCACAATCAAACTCACAAACATACACTTATTCACCTATTGTTGTTTTTAGTGGTAGGGGAAACTGGAGCACCCGGAGGAAACCCCTACGCAGACACAGGGAGAACATGCAAACTCAGAAAGTCCCCATCTGGAGGTGAAATTGAACCCTAACCACTTGCACTATTAGTAATACTGTTTTACCAGTATTTCTTTACTGGCATACATAGAGAAATACAACATATGATGATAATACGCATCTTGTTGTACATGGTAAAACATTATTTTACAATTCTTTTACAATTCCCACTTGATTTTCCAAGACTGTATTTTGATTTTTCTAACCAACTTCCCATATAGTTACACAAAAGATAATAAGCCATGAGAAAGTCGTTTGCTTTCATGTCCTGAGTGTGAATGACGTCTTGTTTACCTACATAGATCGGAATGCAAAGTGTGTAATAAGTGATATTGGTTGTGCCCATGCCTGCTCAGCACGCAGGTAACCCTCCCACCACTCCATTCACACTATAGGCTGTTACTATCTATTGTATATTGTTGACGGTGGTTCCCCAGGAAACGCAGTAAACAGGGTCTAAATATGTTTTACTGCATAGCCTACAAAAGTGAAGCCGATAACGGTCGTAAATTACTGACATTTACTTGCTAATTGTGCCAGGGAGACTAGATTACAGGGCAGTTTATTCCATTACATGCTGTGATTACACACCTCTATTCACACACTCGTTTTCACATGTAGAATATACCCATACAAAAGCATCTCTGCAGTCTCCGGGCCAATATATTACTCAAACATCAGTTACAAATAGATATAGAAACAATAGGACAAGCTTACAGGCTTTTTCCAAAATACATTGCTATATACAACCAGTATTGTAAATGAGGTAATGTGTTTTCTTACTAAACTCCACTGATGTAGTTATTACCGTCGGCTTGTTCATTTGTTTTGCTGTTGTACTGAAGAATGCAGTTTGTGAGATTTATAAATGCACTGTTGGTGATGCCGTTTTGCAGCTTTAACTTTGCAGCCTTATTAAAGCCTTAAATGTGTTTCAGACAAACAAGATAAGTGCTCTCCAATGTCTCTTTGCAGAATGCTATTGTGCTGAAGAAATGTGGCAGAGAGCAACTTTTTTGATGGTTTCAAGAAATGCAGTCGATAAAGCAGTGATATCAAGCGTTAGATAGGGCACAAATAGATGCCTATAAGATCAAATCCTGTATCCATTTTAGAAGTGAACAGATTTAGGCATTTAATTATTAATACAAATTACTGTCACCACAACATATACATTTACATATGGTAATAACTTATAGAGCTACATAAATATTATTTACAATTACCCTGATGATAAGCATGTAATAAACCTAAGCATAAGGTTCTAAAATCAGTCCGGACGGCTGAAAAAAGATGGAGAGATGGAAAGTTCAGAACAAAACGAATACATATCTATATACTGTTGGTGTTATATTCTAACTAAATGTAAAGGAGCATTTGTGTTTTGCCTAGCCCATGCAGAAGGGTATACGGACAGGGTCTGGACAATGTGGAGGCACGGTGGCACCTTCACAGCAAGAATTTCCTGGATTTGATTCCTCCAGACTGGGCCTCTCTGTGTGGAGTTTGCATGTTCTCGCTGTGTCTGTGTAGGTTTCCCCATCACCAAAATCATTTACATAAGGTCTTATGTATGGCAACCCCGCCCTCCCATCACTGTGAGAGTGAGAGGAGAAAATGCCCACAACAATTGTAAAACACCATATATAGATAAAGATGAATTACGACTACATACTTTTATGAACATTTAAGAACATTGGTTAATGGTTTACCCATAACCCAATGGAACAATTACTTTATGTTCTTTATTATTGTATTTAAGTCAGTTCAGAATACTGCTGCCTTTAGTGTAAACAAAAATACATTGATTTGATTTCACATTACAACAAATAAATCTTACCCACATATGCTGGTCACAATCAGGATATTCTTCAACATTTCATTCCTAGCTTGACAAGGCAAGGTAAGTCGTAAAGCTGAAATTTCCCCACTGTGGGACGAATAAAAGTTATCTTAATCTTAAATTCATACACAGGGCAACTCAAAATGCAACCAAATATACACAAAATGAGTCAAAAACGTAAAGGAGCAACCAATCATCAAGACAAGGCAGTGCAGTGCAAGGCAGATCCAAGCCACATTGGAGTTCAACATGGTCTTCAATCTGGTCTTACTTTTTCTCCCTGCAGAGATAGTTTTGCACAGCGCAGCCTGCCCACGCACCAGGCACCAGGCACAGGGCATGCTGCAGTCTCTACCTGCTTCACCCTCCGCTCGCCTCTCGTCACTCACGGAGCCGCGGGCCAATCAGAGCGCGCAGGGGGACGAGGCTCCTCCCCTGTGTATAATTGAACTTTCTTTAGTTTCTCCAGCGGAGCCCTCACGCAGTATTGTCCGGACCGCGCAGGGATTAAAAACACAACAATCGGGGCCATGTTTTGGAGGAGACTGAGCGCGTGTGTGACTCTGTGTCTGTGGATTATTACCACGTTATCAGCGCCTAAAAGTGTGCGTGCAAGGAATCAGGACGAGTCTTTCTTCACTGGCAGCATTTACCGAGCAAGATGCGCTTCGAGGTGCCTGAGTCTGCACATCACTCGCATCTCTGCCTTCTTCAAGCATTCCCAGGTACGAGACACCCGCGGACACCCACCACCGACGCGCTCCTGCCCATAGTTTAACTCCCAAAAATAATCACATGTTATTTCACACTGTTGTCATTTATTTACGCCCGCGTCTCGATGGTCGCTTTTTTTTTTGGAGCCTGGAGCGGCGCAGGTTCTCATATAATGCCGCTCCAACGCGTCCTCACTCCGGGCAGGATTGTGGCACCAGTTGCCAACATGACGACTTGAGTTGCTTGTAAAGTTGTCACATTCACCACGATGTACACTGTGCTACTGTTAATTCTCATAAACACGCTGCACCATTCTTGACTCCAGTCCTAATGGATGTCTTAGAGCTCAGAGCTGTGCCAGTTCCCATTCATTACTTTCTAATTAACGGAAAATGACTTGTTTTTTGGCTTACGCATGCCATAGGTCAGCTCATAGTATGCATTTGACACTTTATTGGTGTCTGGATCTTATTGTGGGCACTGGTTATGTTTTCTATTGAGGCCATAAATTAGTCTTACCATTGCTTGATTGGCTGTGGGGCTTCAGAAGTTGTTTTTCATCCCTGACTGGGCACACTGTTCTCCTCCCAGGATTATGACTGCTCTCTGATCCCTGTCCCTTCTCATTAGCCACCTATCTGCTTCTGGTGACTGCCTCTACGCATTTGCATGTGTTTTGTTACTTTTGTGCTCATCCTAATGGTCCAAAAACATTGTCCAGCGAGGTAATATGTAAAAAAGGTGTAATCAGTCCTGTTAAGGCAAATGAATGCATTGCCCTCTTTTTTGTCACAGATTAACTTAAGTTTGGGTTCACTTATTGATCTGTTGCAATGTTTTTCAAAGCAGGTCCATGGGGAGGCCTGGCCACTGGAGCTAATTCAAGCTGTTTAATAAAGGGATAAGTGACACATGGGGTGACGGATGAATGCAGTTTACAGGAACTCTGAGAGAACAGAGGAGCAGCCTAGCAGAGCATCCACAGATTGGAACAGTGTGTCTTGGCGAGCTCCAGGCGCAGATAGTACAGCATGTGTTGGTGGTGGCCTGGAGTTGAAAGTTGAAGCATTAAATCAAGTCGGTAGAAAAGTCTTACCTCTAATGAACAACTAATAGTCTCCATAATTGAGTGCAGAGGCGCGTTGTCAGAGCCAGACGTGCTCAATAAGGAGCAGTGGGAGGTATTCGTCAAAAAGAAAAGTGTTTTTGCGGTTGGCGATAAGCATGAGGTTTGCATGACAGCCCCAAAATAGCAAATGTTGATAATGTGCAAGGACTGTCATGGCTTGGCGTTCTTAACAGGGCTTTCATGTGAGAATGGGGGGTCTGGTCAGCTGCATAAACATATGGCTGACCCAGCAAACCCCCCACCTCATACCACCACCTCTCCTTCCCCTCCTCTGCCACCCCCGCCCCCCCCCCCCCCCCCCCCCCCCCCCCCCCCCCTGGTCTTGCCCATAAATGCCAGCATCACACCTCAAAAGGCCCCTGCTGGATACACGCTGAGATTCCCCATTTTACTCCACACAGGGGTCACCTTCCTGCGAACTGCCTGCGCCCAATTGTGGTAACTGTGATAAGCCGTAATGTAGTGTTGCCACAATACTGGAGCGTGCTCACTCAGCACTGCCCACAGGTGGATGGACTTCCTCTGGCAGATCTCATTACGTTATGCAGCCGCAAACAGCTCAGCAGTGATGGAGACGGCAGACCTCTTAATTCAGCGCTGACATCCTTCAAGGGTCATTTAATATGAGATAGGGAAATCAAGACACACTATGGTTGCCATTTTATAGTATGGGAAAGCCTCTCTTGGGAGTCCAGACTGCTGCTGTAGCGCACTTTATACTATCTACTTAATATCTTGTAATCAATATGGACGCCTTTTGATTTTAGCTTGCCGTATTTTGTCTGCTAACACGTTTTACAGCTGTTTTTTTATACGTCTGTCAACTGAATCCCCTCTTTTTTCACTTTTTAATTTCAAACTGCACATGTTTTGGAACACCCACACACTTCCCCTTCTGTTTTATGTGGCACAATATTGAGTACAAAGGAGAAGCTTTATTCTAATTGTCACAAATATAAATTAGGCACAATGTACCGTGGAGTTGCAGCATTGGGAAAACCCACGGGTTGTTCTTTCCGTGTCAGATTAATTGCAAGTGTGGATTTATTGAAGTTTTAGTATTTCCAAATGCAGATTTATTGACATTTGACTTCTCTTACATGGAACTTGTCAACTTTGTACCTACAATAGACAGAGAAAGGGGAACACCCAGGCCATAAATATTAGCCTCGGACACTTCAAATATTAAGAGTGAACTGGGAGCTCCGTGCAATAATGTACTCTGAAAGCATCGGCCTTGTACTGGATTATTTATGTGTTGCTGCAATGAAGCCAAAAACAAGGTGTGTCCATGCCTTTACGCTTTTTATTACAACCAAGGCAATAAAAGCTATACATTTTACATGGGCCCATTCATGTTCACTATTAACGTTGATGGCGAGGAAGAGAAAACATTGGAATGAAGTTTTTCCATTTCCCCTTATTTCGGCCTTTGATATGACTTAACCTGTGGTGGAATCAGACCTGAAGCCAGAGGTAGGCCCGTGTGTGGGGTTTTTCATTAGGAAAGACAGCGGATGAATGGGCGGTCTATTTAGGCTGGCCTCCCCACTCGGTAAATGCTTTTAAACCATGACAGTCATGTCTGTAAATCTCTGGCCCCCAATCCTGTTACACCCCTGGAGCTCACCTCATTTCACAAATTGCTTTTGGGGCCAAACTAGAGGTAACTTTTTATGTCAATGTTTTTAGATTTCTGAAACATGCCTCCTATGTTGTCATTGGAAGTGCTTTCAAAAGGTTAGCTCACTTTCCGACACGCTGTCAAATAATTTATATAGCATGCATTATTGATGAGATGGATGACCACAGACTTCATCTTGAGACCCGTTATTTCAGTGCTACATAAGTGCCCATAAAGATCAGTTATTTTGGTGGTGCCTGCATAAGAACCCCCAGGGTGTCAGTGGACACAGAGACACCAGTCTGCCCTTTGAAGTCCAGTCCATCACCTTAGACAGGAACATGAAGGGTCATTGTAATTATTCACTCATGGATACTTTAGGACTAGAAGTGACTGTTCATTGTCTGGAAATCTAGTCCATTATGAAATCTCAATCGGCATAGAGTCAGACGGACGGGTGTTTACTTTACTGGTGCTTTATTATATTTACTTTAAGGAACACATTTGGCACCTACTGGTTCAATACAGCCATTATAATGAAAACCTTTTGTTGCCAGCAGTGTCCAGTGCATGGAGCACTCTAAATTGGTGGCAGAAAGCTATTCCCATAATAAATGCATTGGAACAAAAACTTGTTTCCTGCAGTGGCTTACAAAATTACTAACACAACTTGAACTTTTGAACATAGATATTTTATGTTGGACTTCTTAAAGACCACAATAAAGTAACAGAAAAATGTGAAGTAAATGATATATGATGTTGTTTTTATGCTACTTTTTCTTTAAGTGCATTACATTGTCTTATATCATAATTATATCCTGCTTGTGTGTAATCTACTCTCTGTATAATGATCTGTTCTGTGATGGTCTCAAAGCTATGTTTATGGAAAATTATGCCATGAGATGAGGCTGCTTTTCTTCCGCAGGGACGAAAATATTGTAAACATTAATTGGAAGATGGACGCAGCCGAATACAGGGCAATATGGAAGAAAATTGGCTGGAGTCAGCTAAAAGCACTTAATGTTGTGGTGCAGATTTACCTTCCAGCGGAACAATTACCTTAAATATAAAGGCAGAGCTATATAGGAATAGTAAAAAACAAAAACATTTCATGTGTTAGAAATGCCCATTCAAAGTCCAAACATAAATCCAATCTGTTTGAAAATCTGTGGCCTGAAAACTGCTGTTCATAAATGCTCTCCATCTAATCTGACAGAGGGCAAAACTGGGAAAACTCTAGATGTGCAAAGCTTGTTGAGTCATACCTTAAAAGTATTAACTTGTGTTGTATGAATACTTGTGGAGCACGCAATAACACTTAAATAATCACTCAAAAATAGAACCAATCTAATCCAAGTAAAATAAATAATATGCCTAAGTAAAAATGCATGCACTAAAATCACTAAGATTATTAGTCACGGGGTGCAGTCACATTCAAATGGCTTCATAAAGGCACAGGACAATGACGAGATACATTGTAATTGTATTAATATTGAGATATGTACATCGTATCGATATGTATTCTTCTAGTCACAACATACGTCCTTTTAGGATTGTCCTTGAAGGCACCACAATGGCCAGCCAACAACAAACCTTTTTTCATAGTCTGGATCGACAGCTGAAGAAACCAATAACAAACATAGGGGGGTTGCAGTTTTATCTGAAAAAGGCTTGGTTTTCAATGAAGCTGTAGTTTTATTGTATCGACAATGAGATTCTGTATCTGGCAGAAATAATAAGATCTGAAATGTTATCCATATTGTTCAGTCCTTAAATAATGTTACCTTTGCTAAATGTAAAGCTTGTGGCCAGCACATGTCCGCAGCGGGGGACAGCAAGAAGACTGTGGTCCTCGGTAGGAGATACTGACAGGCACGGCACGCTCACACAGAGCTGTACAGACGCACATGCACAGAAACACTGGTGAGAGGGGCATGGGATGCGATATTAGTAAGCAACAATATATTTAAATGCAATATATATCTATTTTTAAATGTAATCACAAAAAAACATGTATTGACAAAGTATAGAGGATGTAATATCTAAGTACAGTATGTTTGTTCTAATTGGATCTTTTGAATACATTGAGTGAGTGAGTAGGTTATAGATAGATAGATGCTTATTTAGAGTATAAGTTTATACTCTTATAATAGAAAGTATTACAGTTTATACTCTTATAATAGAAAGTATTACAATAATCACAATCAATGAAGTGTTCAAATAACTTCATGCATGTGTTGTGCACCTCATCATTGTGTTGTACAGAATTATTAAAGAGAATTAAAGAGAAGGTTGTTCTACTGTATATCCAGGACATACTTCCAAAACCATTTTTGCGCATGTATATATATATTTTGTTTCATTTTCTTTTTACAAATGTGTCACCTAATTCTGTGATACTTTGTACCTACCATGTGTATTCTGTATGCACGACAGCTTGTGTTGCTCCGGTGCATTCTCGTGAGACTGGAGCCCCACAAGACTTGCATAATACAGGTTGAACTGCTCTCACTCTGCCCAGATGCTCTTTTAAGTATCATTCACATTTTTATGACAGAATATCACACTCAAAAGTTCCTTGATGAAAAAATGACAAAAATATATAGTTTAAATGGGAAATTCGATTTCTACGCTATTCTATTCTGTTCATGTCATAGTTTACCTCGTCATTTACACACGCAAAGCTGTTTTAGTGCGATTCATGTATGTTTAAGTTATTTACATCCTCATAGACGCCACCGCCATTGCTCTCTCCTCAGTCCTCTGACAACCTCTCCCCTCCCTCGGACTTTAATTATTTTCTTTGCCAATCGGCAACATGTGGATGATAATATTGTCTGCGCAAGAGTGGAGCCTCAGACATGAGTATTCCTGATGCTCCATCAACCTGTGGGGCAAACGGGCACACAAGGAGGAGCTAGGCGACTGGTTACTTTTGTAACATCTAAAGATATAAATAGCGCCACAGTGGTCATAGATTGGTGCTATGAGCATTGGGTGGCAGCTCTCATTGCCACCCCTCCGACCCAGAAATTGACTAATAAAGGGGTTGAAAATGAATGAATGAAGGAATGTAGTGAGATGAAGAGGGACCCAAACATTCAGCCATGTTAAAAATAATGATTTAATGAGATAATAAACAAAAGTGCAAGGTAAAAACAAATTCAAAATCCATAATGAACACTGGAACCAGGAAACCGACAGACGAGGACAAACAAAGACAATGGACCAGCAACAAGGGAGAAGAGCACAGGTACATAAAGATACAGAGAGACCCAAGTGAAACACATTAGGGCGGGGCAGACAATCAACAGCAACAGGACAGGAAGTCAAATAAAACCACAGAGAACAGAAGTCCAAATTCAACCAACTACAAAATAACTAAAAATCCACACCATGACAATAGAGAACCGAATTGGCTTATGTCCCGTTAAAAGATAAAAGAAGAGACAGAAGCCGTTCCCACCTTCTCTTTCTTCTCCTCTGACGACAGCAACAATGTCTCGGAGCTGAAGCCGTGTTTACATGACTCCGAATGGTGCGTTCACCTACCCTGTTTGATCTGAGGAGGGTATCTGGTGCACATTCACCCTGGAGTCCTTGACTTGAGCCCTGCTTCATGTTGGGGCTGCTGAAGAATGTCACGGTGAGTCGCTGGGATGAAGTCCTGACCTATAATTATTCCCTGTTGGTCCCTGACATGGGGAGGTCAGGCCTGGACAGCTGGGGCAACATCCTGCTGTGCCTCTCCGCTACATGAACGCTGTCACCGTGCAAAATTAGCTCCCCGGCCCGATCCGCTCCTGTCGCGGCTTGATTGATGGGTGACGAAAGGTGTCAGAAAAACACGACTGATGATTTCAAACGTGGTCGAGTGTTGTGACAATCTGTATAAATTATCCCCAGGCATCGGTTGTCACTGCGAATATCCATCCTTTTATTTATGGGTTGGTGTCGACAGGGGCTTGAGTTAGATTGATAGTGTTTTATAAGTTACTGGACTCCACAGGGATTTTAATTATGCAATAAAACACAACATGACAGGTGTGAAATAATTCATGTTTTAATCAGGGTTTAGTTGACAGTATAAAAGTATACTGATACATGCTATCACTTCATCTCAGGTGTTATTTAAGATGTGTTTGACAATTTTGTTGGCGAGTTAAAATGTGTTTTTACATTTTTGTAAGAAGTGACACACATCCCTGGATATTTAACACAACCTGATTTCGGATTTATAGCTTCTTGCTACAAGGGATCAGGAAAAACAATAAAAAAGCGTTGTGGTTTTTAAATGGCGCTTGTAGAGTTTATGGGTTAGCCGCATGGATCCAGACTAGCTTTAGTAGTCTATTGTGCATATTCACGTGATAGTGGACCCTGGTGTATATTTATATAGATATGCAACCCCATATCTGTGGAATTATTGCTTTCTATCAAATATGTGCTGTAGAAAATAAATACATCCATCCAGCCAAGGTGCAAGATATGCCATTAGTGCCAGAGGCTGATAATGTAACCAACGGCCAATGATGGGGAAGTTTTACACATTCATTTTGGTTTCCCAAGGCTGAGCTAATCTGGTGCATTCTGTGAGCTGAGGTCCATTCAGGGTCCTTATGGTCCTTTGGTCATTGTTTGAGTTTTCACCTTTCATTGTTTTCACTTGTTACAGAGAGCCAAAACCCACAGCAACAGAATTGTGTTCATTTGTATTATGTTGAAATGGCCATATCTCTTAGCTTGACTGAAGGCTTCCTTTTGGAGTGCAGCTCGTAGATACATTTGTCATCCTTATCACAGTTTCTTTGGTGGGGATTCTCAGAACAATCATGAGGTCCTTTGAAGCCCATTTGGCCATTATCCTTGACACTAAAAGCACAGCACTTACTGGTACTGGATGTTAAATTAAACCCTTTAATGATAAGTTCTTTCATAGGGTCTCATGGGAAATCTCTTCTGGATTACATGGTGGGAAAAGCCTTTGAACTTGACATTGAACTTGCACAGATTTTTGCATACTAAAAACTAGCCTGTTATAAAGTTGTTGTGTGCGGAGTTTTGCATTTGCGATCATGATCTAGGTCACTGACAAGACGGAACCTAAGAATTCCATTGCATTGTCTCTGGTAATGATGTGAGCATTTTATTGTTACGTTCAGATTGATGACATATCTGACGTCTTGAACCCCCCAGTGTCACAAAGCAGTCTGGCCTGTCCACACATTCAAGCATTTAGTGTCTTTTATGATGATCAACCGCTCTATTATTCCAGGGGGCTAGCCTTGCACTTGCTATCCAAGCACAATTATGTTAGCGGGGAATGACAGAATAATGCGATGGCCTAATGAAAGACAGGAAATGGACACTTGCACCAGCGGTTGAAGCCAAGTGGTCTTGCACTCAACAACCTTTCTATTTACACATTGAAGACTTTAATAGAGGCAGGTCCATTAAGGCATAATATGTGTCCTAGTGCACAAGGTGGTCCTTACAGGCAATTAAAAGGAAATTGGCAGTATCTGCAGTGTGTGCAGGAGTGCTGACTTCAGTTCCTCTCTCAGTGACCTCGGGGCGTCTGGTGCGAGATCAAACAAACCTAAAAGAAAGGGGGATACTCAGGTCACTCTGCTCCACTGAAAAGGACCAGAGCGGTGGCCTGGTCCTTGCCTCGTGACCCCACTTTCCTGCCCGGGTTATGCACATTTTCTCTCTCTCTCTCTCTCTCTCTCTCTCTCTCTCTCTCTCTCTCTCTCTCTCTCTCTCTCTCTCTCTCTCTCTCTCTCTCTCTCTCTCTCTCTCTCTCTCTTTCTCTCGCATTTGTGAGTAAAAAAGGGTAAAATATGCAGCCATTTCTATTTTGTTCTACACTCTTTATCTATTTAAATAAGTCATTTAATTTTCATATGATTATTCAAATGATATCTTCCAGCTATGCTCTGCTTATTATTTAGATTATTAAATATGAGCAGAGAATTAAGCAATGTTTACCAAGAACTAACAAATGGATTAACTTAATATGATATAGAATTGCATCTAATTTATCCATGAAGTCTCCACACGCTTGAGTAATTGTTTATTGATTTGGGTGTGACAGAGGGAATACTTGGATTTATTCTGTTTTTGTTTGGAACCCTTGTCGGAAACACAATACGAGTTCATGTCTATGTTCTTTTTCTTTCAGAATAATGGATCATTGGTTTGGTGCCAGAATCACAAGCAGTGCTCCAAGGTAGGTTCACTCCTTACATGGATAAAACGCATGCCACATATATTCGCTTCATTATCAGTGACTGCGGCGCCATAACAAGTGCAGGCCCTGACAAGCCTAATGTTTACTCGCCTCCGGGAATCAGCACCAGACCCCTGCAGCTCCAGCATTCTCTCAATCTCCACTAATCCTCACACATGCAGACGGTGATTGAGCAAAGTTAATACCCTGTTTATGATTTTTTTTTTATGCCACAATTTGAGATTGAAGAATTGTGGCAAGCCTCCTGCAGGGTTTGTTTGGGTTTCAGTCCCAGTCCTGAAGATGGTTGATACAAAAGCTGGTGATGACAGCTCTTCTGAAAAGATGGTGCTGACATTTTCTATCAGACTGTCCTGATGCTGTTGACAGTGCTCGCGGAGATGTACAGGGGTTGTCTCCAGCCAAGTTATGAAGCAGGAATACAAATGATGCTATAGCTGAATTTGATAGAGGCTGTTTAAGTGTCTTGCCCAAAAGTATCAAGCATCAATGCATGGTCAAAGTGGCTGGATACTGATTTGCCATTTCACAACCTAATAGATGTGTTGATTGTACTTGTGGTAGAAGTAGTAGGATTGTAGTCCACCAAAGAAATACTCTGTTGACTAAGGACATGCACAGTCAACCAGTTAGTCGACTAAAAGGAGGCGAAGGAAAAGTTTGCCCCCATAACAAAGAGTCAATTTCAAAATATTTTTATATCGCACACAATCACAACAACAGTCGTTTCAATTGGTGTCACCGGACTGCCAACTCCCTGATGGCAGACTGGGGACTTGTCCAGGTCCAAGGCCTAAAGTCCAGGGTTTTAAGTAGTAGGTAAAATGTATAGATTAAGAGATCCTTTATTCATCCCACAGTGGGGAAATTTCCGTTGTGCATCACCAGTTACAGAACAGTATTAGTAGAACGAGGACAGCAAAAGATAAGTGAAAAATAACGCTATAATAAAATAAATATCAAAACTGGCAAAGTGGACGAGTGTTCATATTGAGCTCAAACCTTTTCCCCTAATAATTCATATTAATTTCAAGGAAAAAAACTTTGGTCAACTTAGAATTCCAGACCAAGTGCAAGAGGTATTAGAGTTATTCTCATTTAAAGTGTTGGACCAACAAACTGTGACAGTTAAAAGATCCTGTTTACTGTCACAGGATCTCATCTGGAGAACATGAATGAGGAGTTCATCAGGAGGACTCAAAGATAATGTCTGTTCCTTTGTACACTGTCCCTCCCTACTGTTTTCCTACATGCTATAAAGCCTTTGTTTAATGTACAGGAAGTCGACCAGGTGACCACAAAGTACACATAGTTGTGTGTGCATAAATATTGGTGTACTTAAACAAGAATGCATGCTGGGAGTTCAGGAGGCTCGTAACAACACAGCGGAGGGTCAGTTACCAAAACAGATTTCTTGTCATGTCTGTGCATTAGTGATATCCTATAATGACACTAAACATCTGCGACGGTTTACCTGAAGAAATGATCCTTTCTCTTTGGTTTTATGTCTCTGAAGCATTTTTCATAAAAGCTGTCATCACCATCATGGATCAGGCTTCAAACATCCAGCACACGATTGTTCTGTCCCATTGTGGGGAGTGTGATCTCACTGGAACGCCGTGATGGAAATGATTCAAATGTGCTACAGATGTTCCATGATGAATGACTGATTTGAGTTGAAAAGTCAAAGGGTCAAGGTCAGATGTGCTGGAGTGTGAAATGTAGGATTTGTGTGTGCGTGTCATTTTGAGGGATTAGGGCTGTCGGCCTTTTGTCCTTTTGTCGATTATTTGGTCGATAGTTTCTGAGTCGACTAATTGTTTTATTCAAATTGCGAGGATTTTTATGAGAAAGTAGCAAATATGTAAAACTCTCAACATATACATAATTGATTTTTGCAAGTTGATCGCATATGATCAATTATTAAAATAGCTGTCAACTAATTTATTAATATATGCATCTTTTATGGACCGTACATAGACTTAAACATACTGAGAAGAGGTTTTATGACGAATACTTCTATTATGACTGCAGAAGGAAATGAAAACGTGTTCAAACAAGCAAATGTGTAACGGGTCATCTCTTTGAGGACTTTTGGTTTTGGTCGAATGTATAACAAATATACCATATTCACTGACCTTTAGGGATCTAAACAACTAATCGATTAATCAAAAGAATAGTCAGCCAGCTAATTGATTATCAAAAAATTGTTTACTACAGCCCTAATAATAAGTTGAATTTATTTGGTTGACTACACAAATCATAATCCTGTGTCACATTTGTCATTACATGGAGATTGACGTGTGGAAAGTGGTATAGAAGTAGCCTGGTCGTACCACACCATAGTACAAGTTACATTTCATACTGAGGTTTGGAGGTGCTCCATTGAGCTCCGTTAACAGGTGGGAGGGGTTAACTCCTTTTGCAGATTGAAACGATTTGAGTTTACCGTGACGAATGTAATGTGCCCGAGTGAGTCGTTAGCATTTAGCATGTAACCTAGCCATCTCCTTTGCCGCTAACGGAGCCCGTGGGGAGTAGCGCATCTTTCCATGAATGACTTTTGCTATACATTCCTCTTGCTCCGGCTTCAATTTCTTGATAGAACCAGACCGGATTACTTTTGTGGTAAATCAGACTCAGACATACTATCGCATTCTTCTCCAATGCCAAACTAGAACCTGCCCATTCGGCGCAAACTCTTGACGTCACCCACACCTAACTACAACACCCGCCTCCCGTGCTCGCTGATTGGTCGGATGGAATTCAAGCGATGTAAACACAGGGACCAGACCAAGACGCTACATGCAGTGAAATGATGATTGACAGGAGTGTACGGATGGCCAAGGCCAGGCTAATATAGAAGTGTTATGGTGCATTCAGACCGCAAACACTCAAACTCTGAAGAGCCGCTCACCAGACGCGCATTCTCTAGTTTTCAGACTAGGGATGTAAAAAACTATGAATTTTTATGACCGACCACCGAGCCTCATTAACCGGTTGAAACCGGTTAACCGCGTAGTTTAAAATAGTCCACGTTCTTTGAAATAACAGCCATTTCGAGCCGCGTACTTTTCATAAGTGCAGCTGAGCGTTCTACTGGATCAGAGTTGAGACAGCGGCGCCCAAACCCGCAACAGCTCCGGCACCTTTGCGCACAGAGAACTGCTTTTTTAATCTTCCCATTCTGCTGTGCTGCGGGTTACCAAAACGTTCTAGCAGCAAACGACGGCTCGTTCACATGGTCAGAGCAGCGAGTGACGAGCCGCGTCTCACAGGTCTTCACAAAAGTTTAAATACAAGTGATGTGTGTGGAGCTGATCCCGAGGACCATAAACACAAACATGTTCCATGTGGTTTGACTGGAGCCGCGTATTTGTGCGAATCCTTTGGGCTCCGTGACACAGAGGAGCGCGACAGACCGGTATGTGTGTGTGTATGTGTGTGTGTATGTATATGTGTGTGTGTATGTATATGTGTATGTATATGTAAATGTAAGCTCCAATGTAGTTCTGACCCGCGCCAGTGTGCAACTTTGACGGTAACAGAGGGGAGAGATGATGCATGTGGATGTTACGTATGGAGAGGGGGAAAGTGTGTGTGTGTGTGCGCGCGCGCGCGTGCGTGTGCATATGTGGCTCGTGCGGCGTGAGAGTCGTCCCGGAGTTTATAATAGATGGGCGCACACAGCTAGATACAGACCCGCTCGTCACACCGTGCAAATAGGGCTTAAAATAGCGTTATTAAGAGACCTCACCTCTCCCCTTTTTCTCTTTTTTAACCGACAGCTTTGACCGGTTAACGCTGTGACGGTCAACCACCGGTTAACCGGTCGCCGATTTACATCCCTATTTCAGACGCAGGGGTCTTCACACCAGAACGTCCTGACGCGAGCTGGAAGTACCGGAAGTAGCCGGCCGGCTCTGATGCTAACAGAGCTATGCTAGCGGCTTCTTGTGTACAGATCTTCTCCAATATGCAGCTTTGCAGCGTGTCTTTGAACAGAGACTTTCCACGGGCTTTATATAACAGTAGTATGTGTTCATGGAGGCGCGCCATACGTTTTTTTGTATTATTAAACGGTATTTCCGCATCGGCGAACACACTCGAAGCAGTTGCATAAGGTCACGGACGCATGACAACGCATATATTCACAAGCATACAGTCCCCCATTGTCAACCCTGGTTTGACTTCTGGTGAAGTCTGGTGTGGGTCCTGTTTTGGCTGTTTACGTATTTTCAGTTTGCTCACTCAGTCCGCTAATGTCCCCGTGACCACTTTGCGGCTCTCTGATTGGTTGCTGCACGAACGTCCCAAGGAACGGATGAGCAGAATCCATCTCCTGTGGGCGTCCATTTTTTGCTCCTGCTCCTCCCCTTTCACTTTCCCGCCAAGTCCGTGCGGCTCTACTCAGCGGTCCGTAAGTGCGTGCCGAGAGGTCGGTGCGTTTTGACGCTGCAACGCGCGTCACCATAGACTTTGCATTGAAACCCGACGCAACGCATGATCCGGTATGAACGCGCCATTATAGCAGTGCTATAGAAGTGCTATAGAAGTGTTATAGAAGTGCTATAGAAGTGTTATAGACGAGGTATAGCTAAAACAACCATGCTGTGAATTTGAATTGCAAATATGCTATTTGCATTTCCTGGGATGCATCAGGGCTATTGTGTGTGGCTCTTTTGAATACATTTGCAATGCATAGGTTATTTCCCTCTACCCCAATTATCAAATATTTACATCATGTCCCTGCGGAGCATCTCTGAAATGATTATAATGAGAACACAAGTTATTCTATTTCACTGATCGCAGTTCCTAAAGTCGGTTTTGCTGGAGGTAAGTAAGATTTATGTCGGTATAGCTTTGACTTTGTGATGTCAAAATAGTGTGAAAGATATTGTATCGATGATGCTGTCAAACTTGTTTACTCCTTTCTGGTGTAATTGCCAAATTCCTATGCTTTTATTGGCCTGTCTTTT